TCAACAAGATACCAGCAAATCAAATCCAACAGTACATTAAAAGAATTGTTCACCACAATCAAGTGGGATTTATTCCTGGGCTGCAAGGGTGATTCAATATCCACAAATCAATCACCATGATACACCACATTAATTTAAAAAAAAGGATAAGAACCCCATGATCTTCTCAATAGATGCAGAAAAAGCATTTGACAACATACAGCATCTGTTCTTGATAAAAACCCTCAACAAAGAAGGGATAGAGGGAACATACCTCAACACCATAAAGGCCATATATGAAAGAACCACAGCTAGTATCATCCTCAATGGGGAAAAAATTGAGAGATTTTCCTTTAAGGTCAGGAACAAGACTGGGATGTTCACTCTTACCACTGTTATTTAACATAGTACTGGAAGTCCTAGCCTCAGCAATCAGACAACAAAAAGAAATAAAAGGCATCCACATTGGCAAGGAAGAAGTCAAACTTTCACTATTTGCAGATGACATGATACTCTATGTAGAAAACCTGAAAGACTCCACAAAAAATGCTAGAACTGATACATGATTTCAGCAAAGTCGCATGTTACAAAATCAATGTACAGAAATCTGTTGCGTTTCTATACACCAAATATGAAGCAGTAGAAAGAGAGATCAAGGAATCGATCCAGTTTACAATTGCACCAAAACCCATAAGATATCTAGGAATAAACCAAACTAAAGGGTAAAAGATGTGTACTCTGAAAACTATAGAATACTTACAAAAGAAATTGAAGAGGACACAAAGAAATGGAAAAACATTCCACGTTCATGGATTGAAGAAACAAATATTGTTAAAATGTCTATCCCACCCAAAGGGATCTACACATTTAATGCAATCCCATCAAAATACCACCAGCATTTTTACAGAGCTAAAACAAACAATCCTAAAATTTGTATGGAACCACAAGAGACCCCAAATAGCCAAAGCAATCTTGAAAAAGAAAAGAAAAGCAATTCTGGACTTCAAGCTATATTACAAAGCTGTAGTTATCAAGACAGTATGGTACTGGCACAAAAACAGATACGTAGATCAATGGAACAGAATAGAAAACCCAGAAATGGACCCACAACTACATGGTCAACTAATCTTCAACAAAGCAGGGAAGAATATTCAATGGGAAAAAGACAGTTTCTTCAACAAATGGTGTTGAGAAAACTGGATAGCCACATGCAGAAGGATGAAACTGGACCACTTCCTTACATCACACGCAAAAATAAATTCATAATGGATGAAAGACCTAAATGTGAGAGAGGAAACCATCAAAATCCTAGAGGAAAACACAGCAGTACCTCTTTGACATTGGCTGTAGCAACTTCTTACTAGACACGTCACCAGAGGCAAGGGAAACAAAAGCAAAAATGAATTATTGGGACTTCATCAAAATAAAAAATTTCTGCACAGTGAAGGAAATAATCAACAAAACTAAACAACAACCTAAGGAATGGGAGAAGGTATTTGCAAATGACATATCTGATAAAGGGTTATTGGGCAGAAGACATGAATAGACATTTTTTCAAAGACATAAAGATGGCCAAAGGACACATGAAAACATGCTCAACATCACTCATCATCAGGGAAATACAAATCAAAGCTACAATGATGTATCACCTCACACCTGTCAGAATGGCTATAATTAACAACACAAGAAATAACAGGTGTTGGCAAGAATGTGTAGAAAGGGGAACCCTCTTACACTGTTGGTGGGAATGCAAACTGGGGCAGCCACTCTGGAAAACAATATGGAGGTTCCCCAAAAAGTTAAAAATAGAAGTACCCTTAGACCCAGCAATTGCATTACTAGGTATTTACCCAAAGAATACAATAATACTGATTTGAAGGGACACATGCATCCCTATGTATATATATATATATATAATAGAATATATATGTATATAAAGGAATACATATATGTGTATATATATGTATATAAAGGAACACATATATATAATGGACTATTACTCAGCCACCAAAAAGAATGAAATCTTGCCATTTGCAGCTACATGGATGGAGCTAGAGAGCATTATGCTAAATGAAATAAGTCAGTCAGAGAAAGACCATATGATTTCACTCATATGTGAAATTTAAGAAACAAAACAGATGAACATAGGGGAAGGGGGTGGAAAGAGAGGGAGGCAAGCCTTAAGAAACTCTTAACTACAGAGAACAAACAGAATTGATGGAGGGGAGGTGGGCAGGGAATGGGCTAAATTAGTGATGGGGATTAAGGAGGGCACTTGTGACAAGCACTAGGTGTTGTATGTAAGTGATGAATCACAAATTCTGCTCCTGAAACCAATAGTATGTTAACTAACCAGAATTTAAATAATAACTTGAAACAAAAATTAAAACAAACAAAAAATCTTCAAACAAAATTGGAACCACAATATAGCAAAAATTTATGGAATGCAGCAAAAGCAGTTCTAAGAGGGGAGTTTACAGTGATAAATGCCTACTTTAAAAAAGGAGAAAGATCACAAATAAATAACCTAACTTTATACTTCAAAGAAGTAGAAAAAGAACAAACTAAAGCCAAAGTTAGCAGAAGAAAAGAAATGATGAAGATTAGAGCAAAAGTAAATAAAAAGAAAACAGAAAAATTAGAGAAGAGATTAACAAAATAGTTGGTTTTTTAAATGATAAACAAACTTGACAAACACCAAGACAGAAAGGCCTCAAATACAATTAGAAATGAAAGAGAAGACATTATAAATAACACAGAAAAACAAAGGATCATAAAAGTCTACTAATATACAATTATTTGTCAAAAAATTGGACAACTTAGAATATATCTATTCCTAGAAGCATACTACTTACCAAGACTGAATCATGCAGAAATAGAAAATCTGAACAGACCAATAATGAATGAGATTGAATAAGTAATAAAAAATCTCTCAACAAAGAAAAACCTAGCATTTGCTGATGAATTCCACCAAACACTGAAAGAAGAATTAATGGTAATATTTCTCAAACTCATCCAAAATTGTGAAGAGGAGAAATATACCCAAGCTCAGGTCAGCATTATCCTAATACAAAAGCCAGATGAGGATATTATAAGAAAACTACAGACCAAAGCCCTGATGAATAGGGATGCAAAAATTCTCAACAAAATACTAGCAAACTAAATTCAACATCACGTCAAAAGGATCATACACTGTGTTCAAGTGGGATTTATTCCTAGGATGCAAGGATGGTTCACCTGCAAATCAATCAATATGATATACCCCATTCACAGAATTAAAGATAAAACCATATGATCATCTCAATAGAAGCAGAAAGAGTATTTGACAAATTTCAATAACTTTTCATGATAAAAACTCTCAATAAAGCAGGTATAGAGGGAACATACCTCAACATAATAAAGGCCATATATGACAAACCCACAACTAACATCATATTTAACAGTGAAAAGTTGAAAGGTTTTCCTCTAAGATCAGGAACAAGAGACCAAGGTGCCTACTCTCACACCTTCTATTCAATATAGTACTGGAAATCCTACCAAGAGCATTTATGCAAGAAAAAGAAATAAAAGGCACCAAAATGAGAAAGGAAGAAGTATAACTGTCTCTGAAGATGGCATTATCTTCATAGACAGAAAACCCTAAATACTCCACAAAAAAAACCTGTTAAAATTAATAAATGATTTCAGTAAAAGTGCAGGATACAAAAATCACCTAGAAAACCCAGTCATGTTTCCATACACTAACAATGAATTATCTGAAAAAGAAAGAAAGAAAACATTTCCATTTACAATAGCATCAAAAACAATAAAATATTTAGGGATAAATATAACAAAGGAGATGAAATATCTATACACTGAAAATTGTAAGACATTGATGAAAGAAATTGAAGACACATAAATGGAGAGCTATCTCATATTCATAGGTAGGAATAATTAATATTGTTAACATGTCCATATTATCCCAAACCATCTACAGATTCAATGTAATTCCTATTAAGATTCCAATGGCATGCTTTACAGGAATAGAAAAGATCCTAAAATTCACATGAAACCAGAAAATACCCCAAATAACCAAAACAAACTTAAAAAATTAAAGCTGGAGGTATCACACCTCTTAATTCCAAACTGTATTAACACAAGACTATACTAATCAAAACAGTGTGGTACTGGCATTAAAAAAGACATATAGACTAGTGGAAAAGAATTGAGAGCCCAGAAAAAAATGCATGCATATATGGTCAACTTATATTTGAAAAGAGAATGGTATATATATGGTTTATATATATACGTACTGTTCAGTCACAAAAAGAAGCAAATTCTGACATTTGCAACAATATGGATGGACCTGGAAGTCATTATGTTATGTGAAATAAGTCAGACAGAGGAAAAAAAATTCTGTATGATCTCACATATGTGTGTTATCTAAAAATCTGAAATCATAGGAACAGAGAATAGACTGATGGTTGTTGCCAGTAGTGGAGAGATGGGGGAAATGGTGAATGGATACAAACTTCCAGTTATAAAATAAGTAACTCATAGAGACATAATGTACAATGTAGTGACTATATTTAACAATACTGTATTGTGTATTTGAAAGTTGCTAAGAGGGTAAATCTTAAGAAATTTCACCACACCACAAAAAGGTAATTAAGTAAAGCAATGGATGTCTTAACTAACCCTATTTGGTAATCATGTGCGTGTGTATAAAATCATCACATTACACACCTTAAATTTACATAATGTTACTTGTCAATTATATCTCAAAGTGGGAAGAAAAAAAACTTCAAGGACTTGTGTGACACATGGAGAAAGTATCTTTCTTCCTTGGATGTTAGCTAGGCTGATTATCAGTCCCTGGTTTGGCCCTCTCTCAAGCCACAGTTCCACACCTTCAGTTATCCAAAGAACATCTGAGAAAATCAGAATGTGTGTGTGTGTGTGTGTGTGTGTGTGTGTGTGTGTGTGTACATGTAGAGGACTGAGTTCATGGAGTACTCAAAAATGAGCTCAGCAGTACTTACCGGAGGGCCCGTTAGACCTGGTCTACCCAAGGGCCCTGAAGCCCCTGGTAAGCCTGTCTCTCCTTTTTCACCATCCTCTCCGGGAAGACCCCTTCCTCCGGGGTTCCCCTGTAACCCAGTAAAAATTTTTAAGAAAGGGAAAGCAATAAAATAAGTATACCACACAATAAGCAGATTTTTGTTTGGGACATAAAAATAATCATGTAATTATGTAATATTTGAAAGATTTCACAAAAAATATCTACTTTTATATGTAATGAGAAAAGTATAATTTACCTTTAATCCATCTTTTCCTTGGAGACCTTCTTCTCCAGGAGCTCCTGGTTCACCCTATTTTGTAGCAAAAACAGTAAGATTATTTTGCTAAATTGCTCACCTTAACTTATTTTTTGCTCCTGGTATCTATAGAAAGTAGCATGTTTGTGTACATTTATTCCTACTTCTAATTTATTTATAAGGAACATTTGGCAGTATAATAAGCTTGATATAATTTGCTTGGAATAGCTCTGAAGATGATTTAAAGAATCAGTATTGTAAATTCAAATATATATAAGATAGGCCCAGAATTTTAACTTTAGATTATTAAGAGAAATACGCATTCATTTGGTAGCTCTGAAAATTTATATAGCTAGACCTGCGTTTCCTGAGTTCAAGGACTATAAATACTATATCCCTTAAAGTTGTAGTACCTTCCTATACTGAATTAAATGGATTAATATGACTTAATTCAGTTAAAACTAGATTTTTAGGGTCTGTATTTTTTTGCTTACAAGGGAAAGGCAACAATTGAGGCCCTGGTACATCAAGAAGCTGTCTTCCAGATATAGAACTTAACAGAAAAGTAAGCCATAGTCTATGAAGATATTAAAGTAATACTGGCTCTCCTGTTACCTAAAATATTTACAAGTGAGTTAATTAGTGCATCTTCACAGTTGTTCCTTTGCTCCCACCACTGACACTTCCATCACCCCAACCTCAGACTGCCCACCCCCTGCAAATAAAGGGCAAATGAAAAAGAAACTGGATGTAAAACCTGTCTTCCTACTTTGCCTTTTAGTATGCAAATGTATTTTGAGATTACCTTGGGCATTGTTTCTTGGGAAAAAACTTACCACAGCTCAAATTACAGGCTGTCTATATTAGAATAACTTCTGTAAGCTCTCTAATCATACTTATTTACGATTATTTCCTTGAATCTTGTTAACTTTGTGACTTTAGATTTTTGTTGTTGTTTTTTCAAACATAAATTAGGTTTTAATCATTTGTTTGCCTTGTTAGGTCAGGAAATATCCTGAGAGCTGATGACTGTTATTTGTGAATTTCTACTTAATGCGAACATAAGCGACAATCACAGCTACTCTGCGTTATGTGTAAAGCATTCTACAGAGTACACTCCATAATGAGAAAAGGATGTATGAGGTTAGAACTCCAAATGCTACTAAATGACAATGTGAACAGGGTCTGGCATGCAGCCTTTAAAACTAAGAAATAAAGACAAACGTTTTTCTGTTATGCACTAGAAAGGTTTAACCATTATGCATTTTCTGAAGCTTTATTTATGCTAAGTTTTGAGTCTCTGAACCACTCAGGCCTGTGCATTACAAAGGTTCCCAGTAGACATTTACCCGTAACCCTGGTTCTCCAGCAACTCCAACATTGCCTGCAGGTCCAACATTTCCCTGAAGAAACAAAGGGAAAGATTAAAACTTTTTTCTACTAAAACAGTATATCTAATAATTATGGAAGGTGTATCATGAGGATAGGGCTTTCAAAACACTTCCCATTTTTTTTCTTTTCCCCAGATTAATTTATTGATAATTAATTGCCCCATTAGCTTTATCATTTGTATTTCTTCTCTCTTTCTCTCTCTCTCACACACACAGACTCAGTAGATAGATAGATAGATAGATAGATAGATAGATAGATAGATAGATAGATAGATAATAGACAATATTTTTTTCTGACTCATTTGAAAACACTTCCCATTTTTATCTGCTCTCCTTCACTTGCTTTTCAAGATGATGGGTATTTGCCAAAACATGGCAAACAGGGGATTCAGTGGTAAAAGTTTAGAGACCGTTTTACTATTTAGGAAGATTACCTTTGCACCTGGTTCACCTTGCAGACCAGAGTCTCCCTCAATACCTGAAGGCCCCTAGAAGAGAATGATTTGACACATCATCTGTATATATTTCTTCACCAATTGCAAAGGCAATAACAACCTCATAAGAAGATCATAGTAATTTGTAGCCCAAGGGTGAGATGTATGTCCAGGAAAATATTTGTGTTTCCACTTTATAAACTTGATGGCATAAGACCAGATAATTCTGTGATCTTTTAACAGTTCAAATGCCAAAATAACATCACCTGAAGTCAGGACTTTTAAGACCAATTTCTTCTATTCTTCCCGTCATCCTTTAACCCTTGGTCAAAGACAAACCACCTCCCATTTCCTCTTCTAATTTCCTCCCCACATATTCTTACTATTCTCAGTGTTTTTTACTTTTCACTGTTCCCATCCATTTCTGTTGAGCCCTCTGGAGCACACTTCCTTTAAAAAGTCCAGTTTTCTTTATTCATTTCATAAAAAATATCACACAAAGATGATATGAATTAATTCACATTTTAAAAGATGTATATGGCAGCTTTTCCACTTTCCTTTTGTGGGCGGGTCCAGGTGGGGAGAATTTGGTTCCTTTTACCTTGAAAACATACAACTTCTTGCAACCTCTGGCTATCTCTAGGCCTGGAGCTCCTACAGCTACTGTTGTATTGTTTGTTTGTTTCTGAGATACTGATCTTGTGTTTGAACACACTAAGTGTACCCCTCCCCTCTTACCTTCCTCATTCCCCCTTCCTCTTCTCTTCTCTTTCACTGTGTGTGTGTACTTATTGTATGCATGTATATGCATAACTATTAAAACACACATGTATTCTGTAATTCCCATGTTTTTGGAGTGGAGGGGTAGCTTAAAGCATTAACTCACAAGACACTCTTGACAAAAAGCTTCCTGTTTCCCTTCTATCTTTCAGTGATTCCTCAGTAGTTTTGATCCATGGGTGATATTCTTCCTTATAACTATTAGAGCTTAGAGTATCTTTTATGTCATAGTATTTTAGATAAGAGGAAGTTCAGTTTTCCATTTTGACTCAGCTTCTGCAATACATATTCACTTTGCTTTTTTTCTAAAATAAAAGCTACCCATGCACAACAGTACAGATGGAATTATAATGAAAGGCCCCGGTCCCATTCCTCAGAGGCAACTACTTTTTTTTAATTTTTATTTTTTCAAAGCTTTTATTTATTTGAGAGAGACACACACACAGTGAGAGAGGGAACATAAGCAAGGGGGAGGGACAGAGGGAGAAGCAGACTCCCCGCTGAGCAGGGAGGCCGATGCAGGGCTCTATCCCAGGACCCTGGGATCATGACCTGAGCTGAAGGCAGACGCTTAAACGACTGAGCCACCCAGGAGTCCCAGAGACAACTACTTTATAAAACAATTTTTGTTTTCCTAGTGGTTACTTCTATAACTCAAAAATTATACCTCTACATCTCGATGTATCACCTTGCTAAAAGTTTAGTTTCCTTATTCTCCCTCCATTTTACCATCATTTCATAATTTTTTAATAGTTACATTATTTAAATTCTTCTGTGGGTTAGTTTTGTGACTTCTTTACTGTTACAAGAGACAGTACAGTACAGGACTTAAGAGGAAAAATTATGAAGTGAGACTGCCTGGGTTTCTGTTCTGCCTCAGAAATGACAGAATTTAATATCCTACTTTAGGATTCATATTCTATCTTGAGAGAGAATTCCAACTCTCTTAGAACTTCTTCCATATTAAAACTGCTTTCAATGTCACACATCTCCTCTGGTTCCTAATTTCTCCCAACCTGTCAGCTCCTCTTGGCTTCTTTTATTCCTTTCTTAAACGAACTCTAATAAAGATCTGAACTCTGTGCTGTTTCTTTTCTTATACCAATCTTGAATTAGCACTTTAAATCATCTCCATTTCTATTTCCAGTTGAATACTGCTGGGAAAAAATTACACACTTGTGCAAAGTGGCATCATTACATGTTGAGAGGCATAGTGGCTAAGACAATGGGTTGTGGAGAGAGACTGCCTGAATTGAAATGTAGGCTGTACCACATGACTCCTAGCTATTGCTCTTGAGCAAGTTACTTAACCATTTTATGCCTTTGTTTCCTCATCTGTAAAATGAAAATAATAGCTGTATCTATCTCATAGGGTGTTGTGACAATCCATTAATACAGCAAAGCACATAAATACTGCTAGGCACATAGAAAGTACTTCATAATTGGGGGTTTTTGTCATCATTATTATCAATATAATGCAAATTCATGGTCTCCTACTAAAAGCTTGACTTTTAGTAAGGTATATCTGCTCTTTCACTTGCCTGTAGTCATTTCCCTCTCCCATTATCTTCAACCACTATTCTAAACCAGCAAATTAGCCTCAACTGACCTACTCAACCCCTACTCCTTATCACAACATAATTTTTATCTCCTACTCTTTAAAAACAAACCCTTCTAGTTATTAGGTATGACTTTTCTCAGCTTTCTTTAGGCTCACAAGATGTGGCATAGTATAGGTTATCAGCATCAATTTTTGAGTCAGATGTGGATTCAAAGCCAGTCTCTCCTACTTCTTAACCATTACCTTGGGCAGATGAACAGATGATGACCCCCATCTCCCTAATATTCCTTTTTGGTCTCATGAAAGGTATTGCCAACCATCCTGTTGCACAGCCTAGAAATCTGGGAATAATTTTTTGACTTCTCTTTCCCCTTTACTTCCCATATTCTACAAATATGAAGGTTCTGCAGAATTTATATAAAAAACATTTCTCAAATCCATCCACTTCTCTCCCTTTCTATCCCTATACTTTAGTTTAGAAGTCCATCGTTTCTTGCCTAGTTGAATGCAATGGTCCTTTAGTAGGTATTCATGGCTTTACTCCAGGCCTCTCAAATATATTCTCTGTGCAGCTGCTAGAATTATCTTATTGTCCAAAAAAATAAATCTGACTTTATCACTGCTCTGCTTATCATATCTTACAATGACTTAATACAGCCCATGAGATAAAAAAATTTAAGCTTCTTAACAGAGTACACAAAACTTTTCACGATCTAACGATTTTTCCATAATTTCATCTATTACCACACCTTGCTTTGACTTTCAAAGAATCCATATTGCCTTATGTTTGTATGTTCTTGCTCATACTATTCCTTTTTTCTGGAATTTCCTTATCCTTATTTACTCTTTTCATATGGCTAACTCCTACTTATTTCTTAAAAGTCATCTCATCACCACCACACATTCCCCACAAGTCGTCTTCTTCCCTGTATCCAGGTGGAATTAAATGCTCATTGCCATGTTCCTATACTGACCTGTGAATATCTCCATCACTGGCTCTAATACACTGTAATGTAATAATCTTTTATATGACTATCTTCTGGAATGAATTATAAACTCCTAAAGGAGTCAGGGACCATATATCAGCCATCCTTGTATTACCAGTGGATACAAAGTGCACAGCAAGAAAGCATGGCATAATCATGGAATTAAAAATAGGTCAACAAACCTGGAGCACGAGGGGGAGGAGAAGAGCTTTATTGGTATGTGGCTGAACAGGTCTGCATTAAGTCAGATAATGTAGAACATTATTTATCATGTTAAAAAGTTGGCATTTTGTTAAAGGTCATGAGAGCTATAGAAAAATTCCAAGGGGAGGAATGATATGACAAAGAGAAACTGGCAACAATTAGCTAAGGAATGATAGAAGTTGCTGGAGACATGTAATAAGAGCAGAGGACTAGAGCACTGGCAATAGGGATGAAAAGGAAAGAATAAAATTGAGACACTGTGGGGCCTGTGGGGGCTCCTTCAGAGGGAAATGATGGCTGACTGGAGAAAATAAAGTAGGAAGAGGAGCCTGGGAAGACTCAGTTTTGGGTTGTTGGACATAAGGAGTATCTTTCAATGAGATGGGAATAAAAGGAGGAAGAACAGTGGGAAAGTGATGGGTTTGGTTTAGATATTTTGAATTTAAGATGTATGTGGGCTATTTAGGTGCATATGTATAAGACAACAGGGAATCAGTAACTGCCGCTGAAGAGAGGCATGAGTTAGAGCCATCAAGATGAGAGCTCTAAGAATAATATTGGTAATTAAAGTCATTGTGATAATACGATTGCTAGGCTGAGAAAGAAGGACAGCTTCACATCAAGACTGAGAAAGGCTAATGAGAAGGTAAAGAGCAGAATCAAAAGAGAGCAGTTTCACAAAAGCCAAGAGAGGAATTTATGTCTAATTTATTTACAGCTAAAGTTAACAAACAACAGAAATGAAGTAATTGGATTTTATAATTATAATGAGTATAGTTTATTATTCCAAAATATATCCTAAATAGGGGTCACTTTTTTTAAAAAAGATTTGTTTATTTATTTGAGAGACAGTGTGTGAGTGGAGGGAAGCAGGGAGAGACAATCCTCAAGCTGACTCCCTGCTGAATACGGAGCCTGATGCGGGGCTTGATCCCAGTACCCTGAGATCATGACCTGAGCCGAAATGAAGAGTTGGACACATAACCGACTGTATCACCCAGACAGTCCAGGGGTCACTTCTTAATATTCTTCTATAAAGGAGATATAACATCTTAGAGTGAAGGGTTATCAAGGTAACTCTAAATGAGCGAAGGGTAAGTGTTATTCACTTTTTGTTGTCATTTAAATGGGCTGTTAAGAGAACTTCATGTGTACAGGCAGTAACCTCCTTGACATAGGCTGTAGCAACTATGCAAATATGTCTACTGTGGCAAGGGAAACAAAAGCAAAAATAAACTTTTGGAACTTCATCAAAATAAAAAGCTTCTGCAGAGCAAAGGGAACAATCAACAGAACTAAAAGGCAACCTAAGGAATGGGAGAAGATATTTGCAAATGACATTATCTGATAAAGGGTGAGTATCCAAAATATATAAAGAACTTACAAAACTCAACACCCCAAAACCAAATAATCCAGTTAAAAAATGGGTAGAAGACATGAACAGACATTTTTCCAAGACATACAGATGGCCCGCAGACACATGAAAACATACTCAACATCACTTATCAGGGAAATGCAAATCAAAATTACAATGACATATCACCTCACACCACTCAGAATAGCAAATTAATAACAGAAGAAACAAGAGATGTTGGTGAGGATACAGAGAAAGAAGAACCTTCATACACTGTTGGTGGGAATGCAAACTGGTACAGTCACTCTGGAAAACAGTATGGAGTTTCCTCAAAAAGTTGAAAACAGAACTAACCTTCCAGCAATTGCACTGCTAGGTATTTAGCCAAAGAATACAAAAATACTAATTCAAAGGGATACATGCACTCCAGTGTTTATAGCAGCATTATCAACAATAGCCAAATTATGAAAAGAGCCCAAATGTCCATCAACTGATGAATGGGTAAAAAAGATGTGGTGTATATATACAATGGAATACTACTCAGTCATCCAAAAGAATGAAATCTTTTTTTTTTTTAAAGATTTTATTTATTTATTTGACAGAGAGAGACACAGCGAGAGAAGGAACACAAGCAGGGAGCGTGGGAGAGGGAGAAGCAGGCTTCCCGCAGAGCAGGGAGCCCGACGCGGGGCTCGATCCCAGGACCCTGGGATCATGACCTGAGCCAAAGGCAGATGCTTAACTGACTGAGGCACCCAGGTGCCCCAAAGGAATGAAATCTTGCCATTTGCAACGATGTGGATGGGGCTAGAGAGTATTATGCTAAGCGAAATAAGTCAGAGAAAGACAAATGCCATATGATTTCACTCATATGTGTGATTTAAGAAACAAAACAAATGTTCACAGGAGAAAAAAGAGAGAGGAAAACCAAAAAACAATTTTAACTATAGAAAACAAATTGATGGTTACCAGAGGGGAGGTGGGTGAGGAAATGGGTGAAATAGGTGATGGGGATTCAGGAATGCATTTGTTGTGATGAGCAGTGGGTGTTGTACGTAAGTGTTGAATCACTAAATTGTACACCCGAGACTAATATTATACTGTATGTCAACTAACTGGAATTTAAGTAAAAACTTCAAAAAAGAGAACTTTGTGTGTATAAAATTAGATTCATAAAACAGTCTTCCCTACTTTTAATGGAATTTTAGGCTTTATTTTCTGAATACGAAACACAACACTACAGAATTATTCTTTAAATATATACCTAATGTATCAACTTTACCTTGAGAAGTCTTACAAAAAGTATTGGGTATTGATGAAATAACAAAAAAGAGCCACAAAAAAAGTTACCTGAGCACCCATTTCTCCAGGAGGTCCAGCATCCCCTTGCAACCCTCGTGGTCCCTACAAAATTTAAGATCTGAGAATCAAAGTTTACACTGTATTCCGATTAACGTATGCATCTAAATATGGAATTTTTAATATATAATATGTAATAGAACACATAATACATTTATCAACTTTTTTGTATAAACAATTACAACTTTAGAGTTGATTCATCTGTTGCGTGTGTGTTGACTAGAAGGCTATGCTGGGATTCAAAAGAAAAGGAAAGAAAGGACAGTACCTTTCATGCTTTCATTCCTTAATTCACTCGTCCATTCAATAAACATTTATGAAGCTCCTAATAAGTATCAAATATCATGCTAAGGGCTTTCAAAAGTTATCTTATTGGATGGACATGACAATTATATTTCTACCGGATATTCATGGCAAATACGTGACAGACAAAATAGCATTTTTAAAGAAGCAAATATATGGTCTCCAATGAAATAAAAATATGTTAGAATTTGCTTGATGTCACACTTTATCATGGTAGTGAATCCAGTTCAACAATTTCTCTGGTTTACATGAACAGATATAACAATGTTTACCCATATGATTTAATCATTAAGGTGGAATAAAATGGATGTTGGGACTTTTATTGGAATCCTGGTCACTGTAATACTGAATAGTATAATTTTAAGTAGACAAATATTGAATATTCAGTTTATTGCATAAACATTAAATTGGCTAAACCAAAAGGATCTTTTTAGTGTGTGGAATCCATTTAACTGGCTAGAATTATTTTAGATAGATTAATACTTATTTAGCAACTACAATATAATGCTATTTCTCCAGCCATTCAAAGAAAATACTTGCACTATTTCACCTTTCTGGAAAGATAGTAGGAAGAACGTGTTTTCTTAGATTCAGAAAATAACAAGATAGTTAAAATTATCTGTGAGATTATACTCCATAACAATTTTGTGAATACCTCACCTTTAAAAAATGTAGTAATGGAAAGCAAAGTGTGCTATGGTTGGTTATCTTAAACTGTTTTCTGAATTGTTACAGTCAGTAATGTTCATTTTAATTATTTGAAAAGTATGAAAAAAAAAGATTAAGTACATTATCCATAATTCTACCATTCAGAGGCGACACTGTAAATATTCTTGTATATTTCCTTCTAGTTTTGTTGTGGGAGCATACTTACAAATAACTTTATATCTCCCTGTTTTACACTTACGATTCTATTCTGAATATAGACATTTTACCATGTTATTATAAACACTTCCTAACAAATTGTCCAACAGCTACATAACATTCCATTTATCTCATATTCTGCAGTACCATAAATTAGTCATATTCTTAATACCAGACATTTATATTGCTTCTTTATCTTCTTTACAGTACAATTTTACTTTACTGGATTTATCATATGCATGTTAGACTCTTTATCAGTGAATGTTAAGGTCTGTAATATCAGGTGGTATTGTCAAATAGCTGAGATAAACATTGGAATGATAGGACTGCAAGGCTGGTATGCAGGGGTGACATATGTCGTCTCTACTCAATAGTATAGTTTTTAAAGGTATTAAGAGGTCCGTGTTGCTTTTCAGTTATGGCTTATTAAACATTATGTATAATATTTTTAAATTTGTGAATTCCCCTCAGAATGTGTTTCTACACTATTATAAACACACTGAAAGAAACATGTCTGTGCAGAAGTCTGTGTGTATTCTGCATTTTCTCCCTTAGAACAGAGTCTGAAATGGTACCATTATTTGGTCATGAAGTCAAGTAAATTTCCTGAAATGTTCAATAATTAACATTCTGCAAGCAATATATAAAAGTAAAATCTATTTCATCGAATCCATGCCAACAGAGAATATTATTTTTTAAATTCTTCATTAATTTGATGGACAATCTCTTATCTTAAAATGTGTATATATTTGACCATTAGTAAGGTTGAATATTGTTTTTGTTATTTGTTTATCAGCTATCTGTGATATTCTATGTGTTTCTTGATCATGTCCTCTGCCTATGTATTTTGGGAATCATTTAAAAGATTTGTATGAGTTTTTTATGTGTTGTGGTCATGAACTTATAGGCATCCTATTTTACCATTAACATCTGCTTAGTATGTAGTTTGTCAATTAATTTTTTTATATATTGTTAAAAATAAACTTTCCCCCCTAAGTATGATCACTGTAGAATACCTGGAAACTCATAAAGTAAAAATGATCCAAAATAACCACTTAAACCACTTAACATTTGCTGTAGTTCCTTAAATCTTTGAGCATAAAAAAATTGGGATGAGAGAAATTTAAGATTTGTATATAGTTAAATCTGTTAGTCCTTGAGGACTTTTTCCATCACATTTAAGGTTAAAACATCTATTTCCATGTAATTATTCTATACTATTTCTTTTAAAATCTACCAGCCCTAATCCTCCTTTTATGGCAGGTTAAAAATATTAAGCTATTTTGCCTGTTTGTTTTTATAAGTTATTCTTATGATAATTAAATCCCACACCTGATTTACATGGGTAATGGGATTTTTGAATGGGACTGTGTTAACTCTAATAAATACATTAATTTTAAAAATAGTCTTCTAGTTAGAAAATAATTTGACTTTTTACTTAAGTCTGTTTCTAGGACTCTTAATGAATTTTTGAAGTTTTCTTTGTATGTGTCCCGTCCAATTCCCATTAAGTTTATCCTTAATTATTATGTTTTGTTTCTAGCTAGAGTGGGATATTTTTCTATTCTATTTTATTACTTGTATATCATATGTATATCAGAAAAACTGATTTTTAAAAAATGTCTATTTTACGTCTTGCCATTATATTACTCTATCACAGAAATTGGAAAAATACAGAATTAACTCTTTGGGTTTCATAAGTTTTGGGGGGTTATTTAAATTTTCTCTAAATAATAATGCTTTTCTTCCCTTATACGATCATTTCTATGTCATATGCCACTACACTAGCTAAAACTTTTCAAATAATGTTAGATAATAGTGACAGTTGGAAATGTTATATTGTGGTTCCTATGCTTCTGGTGTTTCCATATTTCCTAGTAGGTTGGGTGCAGATATAAGATAAGCTACTTTACTTTATTACAGAACTATGTTTGATGTTACTAGAATATTTTGTTTCAATTAATAAACTTTATTTCTTAGAGAAGTTTTAGATTTACAGAAAAATTAAACAGAATGTACAGAGTTCCCTCCCATATACCACCCTTGCCCAGTTTTCTTTATTATTATTAACATCTTGCATTAGTGTGGTACATTTGTTACAATTGATTAATTGATATTGTACTCTTAAGGTTCATAGTTTACATTAGGGTTCACTCTGTGTGAACACAGACACAGAGTTGTACAGTTGTATGAGTTTAGAGATATGCATAATATCATGTATCCATCATTATAGTACCATATAAAATAGTTCCACTGCTCCCAAATTCCCCCGTTTTCCACCTATTCATCCCTGGTCCTCTACCCCCAACACCTGGCAACTACTGTTCTTTTTTACTGTCTCTATAGTTTTGCCTTTTCCAGAATGTCATATAGTTGGAATCATATGGTATTTAGACTTTTCAGACTGGCTTCTTTCACGTATCAGGATGCACTTAAAGGTCCCTCGGTCCTTTTGTGGCTTAATAGCTCTTTCCTTTTTATTGATGAGTAGTATTTCATTGTATGGATGTACCACAGTTTGTTTATTCATTTATCTTTTGAGGACATATCAGCTGCTTCTCCTTTGGGCAACTATGAATAAAGCTGCTATAAAGCATTCATGTGCAGGTTCTTGTGTAGGCATTAAGTTTTCCAGTCATTTTGATAAATACCAAGGAGCATGATCACTGGACCATAATGGTAAGAATATGTTTAGCTTTGTAAAAATCTGCCAAGTTGTGTTCCAAAGTTGGCTGTACCATTCTCATTCTGTATTACCACCACCAATGAATGAGAACTCCCATTATTCTACATCTTTGCTAACATCTGGTATTGTCAGTGTTCTAGATTTTAGCCATTCATACAGGTGTGTAATGATATGTTATTGTTGTTTTAATTTGCAATTCTCTCTAATGACATATGATGATGATAAGCATATTTTCTTATGCTTCTGTGCCATCTGTAGGTCTTTGGTGTATTGTCTGTTCAGATCTGTTGCCCACTTTTTAAATTGATTGTTTGTTTCCTCATTGTTAACTTTTAAGAGTTTTTTCTACATTTTGCATACAGGTCCCTTATCAGATATGCATTTCACAAATGTTTTCTCCCAGGCTGTCGCATGTCTTTTATTCTCTTAACATGTCTTTCACAGAGCAGAAGTTTTTAATTTTAATGAAATCCAACATATCAATTTTTCATTCATGAATCATGCTTTTGATATTGTATATAAAAAAAAGTCATTGCCAAATCCAAGGTCAATGAGATTTTCCTCTTATGCTATCTTAAAGAAGTTTCGGTTATACATTTTAAATTTAGGCCTATAATCCATTTTGAGTTAATTTTTTTGAAAAAGTATAAGGTCTTTGTCTAGATCCTTGTTTTTTGGTTTTGCTTTTGTTTTTATGTGGACACCTAGTTGTTCCAGCACTATTAGTTGAAAAGTGTTGCCTTGGCAACTTTGTCAAAGATCAGTTGACTATATTTGTGGACTTCTATTTCTGGGCTCACCATTCTGTTCAAATGATCTATTTGTCTTTTCCTACTACATTGTCTTGAATACTGTAGTGTTAGTGTTATATTAAGTCTTTATGTTGGATCGTGTCAGTCCTCTGACTTTGTTCTTCTTCAATATTATGTTGGCTTCTCTGGGTCTTTTGCCTTTCCTTATGAACTTGAGAATTTCTTTATCAATATCCACAAAGTAACTTGCTAGTATTTTGACTGGAATTGCTTTGAATCTATAGTTGTGACATCCTAACATTTACTCTTCCTATCCATGAACATGAACTATCTCTCCACTTATTTAGATCTTCTTTTATTTCTTCAGTCAGTTTTGTAGTTTTCCTCACATATATTCTGTGTACATTTTGTTAGATTTATACCTATTTCCTTTTTATTTT